CCTGGGATGCCATGGGGAGGAGGGCCTGGGATGCCATGGGGAGGAGGCCCTGGGATGCAGTGGGCAGGAGGGCCTGGGATGCAGTGGAGAGGAGGGTCTGGGATGCCATGGGGAGGAGGGCCTGGGATGCCGTGGGGAGGAAGGCCTGGGTTGCAGAGGGCTGGAGGGACCAGGATGCAGTGGAGAGGAGGGCCTGGGATGCATTAGGGAGGAGGGCCCAGGATGCAGTGGACGAAAGCAGTGCTGACAAGACAAATCATCAAGAGGCTCTCCTCAGCCTCTGTGACCTGGGTGCTGCTCACTCTCTCCTCTCTCCTTGGAGGAGAGAGCTGGAGTGTCTCCTCACCCCTGTGGCTTCAGTGACTGGTGCCTGCAGGACCCCTGTGTCTTACATCCATAGGATGTCATTTGACACTAGGTGACAACTTTCTGTTGCCACGGGTACCCCCTGATGTAGCTTTCTCTCTCTCAGGTCTCAGCTGAAGAACTAGCATGTTAGCGGTTCTGAGAAGGCCTGAGTGGCTTGAGGTACCCGTGTTGTGTCAGCTCAGCCCAGAATCTCTGTTCAAGTTGTAGACAGGAGCAGGGACTGAAGGCCAGCTCTGGGAGCTGAGAATCAGGACCAGAAGCCGGGATCTCACAGAAGTTCATGGACAGGCCTGGCCAGTGATTTAAGGAGTTCCTCCTGTTATTTGGCTTTTCATCACTGTGACAAATGCCTGAGAAGACAGCTCTAAGGAGGAAAAATTTATTTTGGCTCATGGTTTCAGAGTTTTAATCCATAGTCTGCTGGCTCCCTTGCTCTGGGCCTGAGGTAGGCAGAGCATCTCCTACCTCAGGGCATGGCCAAAGGGCACTGCTCTGCTCATGGCAGCTGGGAAGAGAAGACAGAAAGGGCTCGGGGGCAAGAAATCCCCTCCCAGGGCCTACCTAGTATCTACTCCCTTCAAGCAGGCCCCACCTCCTCCTGTTTCCACCACCTCCTGAGAGAATCCACTCAAATTATTAACCCATCCAGTGGATCAACCCACCGTTGGGGTCAGAGCCCTCATGATCCAATCACCAGAAGCCACTGTGCACCGCTGCATTAGGGCCTAAGCAGCTTCAACACACCAGTCTCTGGGGGAGGCATCGCATACCCTGGTTCTACACCTCTGCTGCCCTGGGCTGTGCAGCCATGACACTTGGTGGCAGCTGGAGCAGTGCAGAGGCCCAGAGCTGAAACCTCAGACACCTTTGCTGTGGTTGCCAGTCTGAGTGTCCTGGTGAGGACCCCAGCCTTTATCTAACGCCCCAGCAAAGGGCACTTCCTCTCTGTCAGCCCACACAAGCCAAAGGGACCCTTGTTCCTGGTGCTGTATTAGCTTCCTTTCCACTTAGTGGCCTCTTCCCCCACCCCCACCCCCCGCTAGAGGGAAATCCCTTTTGAATGGGTGGGAGGGAGGGTGAATTTGTCTGCAATCAGGGACTAGGTTCCCTTTCAAGACAGTGTACATCTTGCCTCTGCCTGCACTAGACACAGTCCCTTAAATGACATTCTGTGAAGTCACCCACTTTTGATCCAGAAAAGGGAATTCCTTTGCTAGGCCTGCTCCGCACTCTTCTTCCTTATCCAGGAGGAAATGTCTCTGTGAATAGGCCCACAGCCAGGACTGAGGAGCCTGGGCTCCCCCGGCCTGTTCCCCAGTGAATACAGACTGGTGCAGTGCTCAGAGCAGTCCCTGGGGCCCTGCTGCCTGGATTCATGCAGTAGCTGGCCACGTGTCCTGGCCTGTACCTCCATTTCCCCAGCTGTAAAATGAGGTGATAATCATATGTAACCCCTGGCTGGTGTAAGGATTCAAAGAATTGGACCTGCAGGCTGGCCATGTAGATAACATGTTGTGTGTGCTGCTGCTGGCATGCATCTCTCCCCCTGCCCTGGGCTCCCCACCTCTCCTCCCCTGTCCCTGCCCTGGGCTCCCCACCTCTCCTCCCTTGTCCCTCCCCCTGCCCTGGGCTCACCACCTCTCCTCTTCTCTCCTCCAGCTGCGAGGTGCGGTCGGGGCCAGAGTTCCTCACGAGGTCCTACAGGTTCTACCACAACAACACCTTTCAGGCCTACCAGTTTTACTATGGCAGCAACCGGTGCACAAATCCCACCTATACCCTCATCATCCGCGGCAAGATCCGCCTGCGCCAGGCCTCCTGGATCATCCGCGGAGGCACGGAGGCCGACTACCAGCTGCACAACGTCCAGGTCATCTGCCACACGGAGGCGGTGGCCGAGCAGCTCAGCCAGCTGGTGAACCGCACGTGTCCAGGCTTCCTGGCCACCGGGGGCCCCTGGGTGCAGGACGTGGCCTACGACCTGTGGCGGGAGGAGAATGGCTGCGAGTGCACCAGGGCTGTGAACTTCGCCATGCACGAGCTGCAGCTCATCCGCGTGGAGAAGCAGTACCTGCACCAGAACCTGGACCACCTGGTACAGGAGCTCTTCCTCGGGGACATCCACACAGACGCCACCCAGCGGGTGTTCTACCGGCCCTCCAGTTATCAGCCGCCCCTGCAGAATGCCAAGGTAACCCGGCTGGCCACAGCCCTGCACCTCCTCCTACTAAGCCAAGCAGGTGGCCCTTGGTAAGGGCATGTCACAGGTGCAAAGGGACCGGTGACAGGGAGTGTTCATCTCAGGGGAGGGACAGACCAAGATGGGACTGCAGGAGAAGAGAGGAGGGCTGGTGGGTGGGAGAGGACAGCCAGGCAGGAGACCTGGGGCTGCCACCAGTGACCTGGGGCCTAGGTATGCCTGTTTGAAGTGGTTGGTGGCTTGGGTGACCGTCCTAGAAATTTTCTGGCACTAATGTCCGACAGCGCTCTTCTGTGACTCCCAGAGCAAAGCACAAAGGAAAGGACATCACAGCCACGCTTGGCACAGAGACCAGATGACAGCCGCCAGCCCAGCTCTGGTGGAGGGGGAGGGGCCACAGGAGGAAACAGTGAAAATGACATTTTAGGCGTCACAGAGACCTTCCTGTTACTGCTTTGGGTGTGCACAGTGGCCTTGGGGGTGGATGCTGTTAGGGCCCTCCTGGGCACAGCAGGCAGCCGAAGATGGGGATCAGGTCCCCATGATCTCCCACTTGTGAGTTTCGGTACTAAGACTTGAGCCCAGACCTCTTTCCTGCAGACGGCCACCTCTTTCCACCTCACCATGTGAAGTGGGAAGTCACTGTGATCCCAAGGGAGGACCGAGCCGGGAGGGCAGGAAACAAGGACCACGGGTGGCTCTCTCTCTTCCCCAGTGACACCGCAGTAATTCTGTGGGATTCACAGGCTCAGAACGGTGGTCAGCATGCAGCTGTCTGTGTCCACGGCCCTAGGAGTGCATGTGCGTGGCAGCAGGAGCAGGTTGAGCAGTCTTGCTGCAGTTCCTGATGTGTCTCCCGGCGGTCCCCCAGGGCTTTGGTGGAGTACTCTAGAGCAGTAGCTGCCACCGCAGACCAGCTGACGTCTGGGATGGCTTATTCACCTGTGACAGTCGTCTTCCTTAGAGGTCTTGTGAGCTTGCGTGTGGCTGGCCGGGGCATCACAGAGGACCTCCTCTACCACATGATGCCCTCTAGTGCCCTTTTCTCTTTTAACCTGTTATCGTGAGTTTGTGTAATGAAAGTGGCCTTGCTTACAATTGTCGCCCCATGGCGGAGGTGCTTCCACTGGGTGCTTCTCAGGGTGTGGCCTGTGTGCAAGTCCCTGCCCTCCCGGGACTTGTGGTGCACCTGCAGGACTCACGGTGCCACCGGGCTTGTCCTGACACAAGAGCCAGTTCTGCTCCCTCTGACCTTAGGATTCCGGGGCACTGCAGAGGTGCCGTGAGAGGGCCCCTCATGCTCCGCTCCCTCATGGCAGGTGTGGGAGTTCCCGGGAGTGCTCAGGGAGGTCTCACAGGGAGGAGCCCAGAGCTCTGCCCCTGTGGCCTGCCATCTCCAGCAAGGGCCTGGCGAGGAGGACCAGGGTAGTGCCTGGGCACGGTGGCCCTGGGCCAGGCGTTGCTGGGCCACCTGGGAAACCATGCAGCTTGTGCTTCAGGCACATTCTGGGACTTTGCGGTTGAAGGTGTGATCTGGAGTCCCCCAGCCACACAGCGCCTCTCCTGGTGTCTCAGCAAGTGGCTGCAGCAGGGCAAGAGGACTCTCATGCCCTCAGCTGGGCTTCTCTGGGTACAGTGCAGCCAGCCCCTGAGAGCTCGGGCGGTAGTAGGGACACTGTCAGGGATGAATGTGGCCCCCAGGTCACCCAGGAGCCCCACCTTGGCCAGCAGCATGCCCCTCCCACTGGCTCCCCCAAGCCCTGTTGAAGACCTGGCAATGGGCAGAGCCCTCTTCGCGCCTGCTTCCTCTCCAGCGGAGTCTCTGGAGCAGCCAGACAGCCAGGACTCGGGAGAGGTGAGGCTGGGGCTGAGTAAGAGGCTGACTTGCCCTGGGGGAGGCGGGGGGTGCCCCATGCCTGACCTCAGGTGCTGCTTGCCCCCGCCCGGGTTCAGGTGGCTCTCCTCTGCAGCATGTCCCCTGTGGGCTCTTTGGTCCCTTGGCTCTCTGTAGAACTGAAAGTGTGCAGGAGTGACCCACCGGCCCCGCTTGCCAGGCCTCGGCCCTTCACTTTCTGGAGGTACGGGTGAGTCCTTAGGGAGGTCCTGCAGGTCAGGTCCACATCCCTGATCCCAGAAGCTCCAGGGGAATCCTCCTGGCCACTCCCCGGGTCCAGCTTGGGAGGACCCTTCTCTGTGGCCAGTGTCCCTCACGAAGGGGAGCTAGCGTGCCACCACACTCTGGAGGGCCTCGGAACTGGCATGGCAGTTGTGATGCTGATCTTTATAGAATCTTTATCAACAAAAATGTTGAAGAATGTTCTGTTTTATTTTGTTTGTGATCCTGGGGCCTTGAGCTACGCCCCACAGCCCTAGAGCTGGTAGTTTGGGGTTTTTAAGCCATCGTCTGGATAAATGGCCAAGAAAGTGGACTTTGGCAATGAGAGCTGTCCCTGCCCCAGTCCTCAGCCTCAGTCGACTGGCACTGGTACTGTCTGACCTCTTACAACCCTGCTTTGTCTTTGCTACAAGGTGGTAGGAATATCAGATCCAGTGGGGTTACCCTGTGGGGTATTGTCTGGCCTCTGTCCCCCCGTGTCCATCCGTGGCTGCTGCCGGGGCGTGGATGGTGGTTGACAGGGACATCAAAGTGTCTGCCTGGCCCGACAGGAAAGCACTTCCTTCTGTCTTCTCCCTTCCCCTCTGCGGGGGCTGTTGTGGGGACATTTACCCGGATTCCTAAGAAATGGACTCCGAAGCCTCAGGCCTGATTCCCTGACTCCAGAAATATGAAGGGTGGAAAGAACTTGGGGAACTAGATGTTATCTAGGACGTACTAAGTGACCCAGTAGATAAAGAAAGCTGCAGACTAGCCCTGTGGATGCCACTTGATCAGACCAATGAGAGGAGAGGACAGGAGTCAGGCACAGGAACCGTGACCACCAAGAGGGGGCCAGGAGATGGGGACGGCTGGGCCCGCGTTATTTTCTCACCTTTGCGGTTTGTGCCGTGATCTCCTGTTACCCAAACACCATCACCGCGCAAAACTAAAATTACAGAAAACAAAAAGCACAGCTGGGACTCCGAGGAAGGCAGAGGTCACGCAAGCGCTGGCGGCCTGGCGGGGAAGAGGGCCTGGCCCTGGACTAGCACGGCTGCCCGGCCAGCATGGCCAAGGCCGGTCGGCGTGGCTCTGGGACCTGAAAGGGCCTTTCTTCTCCTGTTGACCCTTGCTGTGTACCTCTTGGCCCGCGGCGTGCTGCGGAGTCCTCAGGAAGTTCTCAGATCCTTCCCAGGAAAGCCACGAGGAAGAGCAGATGGACCTGGCCGTCGGGGTCTGTTTGAGCGCTGGGCCTGGCGAAGGCCCTGTGGGCACTGCTGCAGCAGGTTGTGGGGTTCTGTGGCGCCTGGCCCAGGATAGGAGGAGCCAGGGAGCGTCTCCAAAGACCCACAGCCTTCCAGGAGGGGCCGGAGCTTCCTCCTTGGAACTCTGTGCCTCCCCTAATGGCTGGTCCACAGAGACCTGGCTGAAAATTAGTTTAAATACTAAATTGAGTTCGAAACCACTAGTCTCAGCCCCTGTGGAAACACCAGGTAAAAATAGAATTGTCCAGCCGGCTTGTTTTTCTAAGCCTGATGCAGCTTTGCTGTGAGACTCTGAGTCTTTTGGCAAATAAATTATGTTTGCAGAGATTCAGGTGCAGAGGGTGCTCTCAGGAGGCAACTGGCCACTCTTCATTAAGAAAAACCACGGGGGCCTAAAATAACGCCACGGAAGACGCTGTGCTTGAATGGAGTCAGTGCCCGGCAGCCCCTGCCCCTGCAGAGCCTTCAAGCCCTGCAGTGGGTGGGCGGGTGCAGGTCCATTCCTGCAGCGATAGAATCCAACAGTAATTAACAGCAAATGATTGCCAGGATCTGCAGAAATGCCAGAGCCTCAGGATCAGACTTGTAAGCAAATGAAATTGGTCTTTCTCCAAACCCCTGCACTGGCCCAACGACGGGGTTGTAAATCAAGGGGGCTGTCTGAAAACCAGACGGCTTCCCCTATCCGTGTATTTTAAATATTCTCCCCCTGCAGACTTGCAGCCGCGGGGCTGGGCAGTGGGAGGAGAGCTCTCGGAGGCCGGGCCCCGCCCGAGAAGCTGCAGCACTACGCTCCCTGAACCGTCCGCCTGGCTGTTCATCAGCATGGGTTTGCAAGGCCTTTCTCCTGTGGCAGAGCACAGTTGGCCCTGTGACTATCAGTCACCCCTGTGGGCATCAGTTCCAGGACACCACCCAGCACACACCAAACCCGCGGGTGCTCAAATCCCTTAGGTAAAGTGGAGTAGCGTTTGCATGGACCCTACGCAGTCCTCCGTATGCCCTTGATCGTCTCGAGATGACAGGTCCTGTGGTGTGACTGCTAGGTAAAAGTCCTTGTACTGTACGGTTTAGGAAATCGTGACAAGAAAAAGGTCTCCATGTTCAGAAGAGGTAGATTTTTGGCAATATTTTGATCCACAGTTGATTGAATCCTCAGATGTAAAACCCACAGATCCAGAGGGATGATTGTGTATGATAAATACCAGTGAACCATGCGACTCCCTGTATCAGTGCCAGCCCCTGCAGGAGGTGCCGAGCAGTGCCCAGGCTAGAGGGTTGGCAACCACACAGAGTCCCATCTCCCGGCTCTGGAGACTGAGCAGGGTGGCAGCATAGCTGGGTGCTGGCGGGCCTCTGCAGGGTGCAGGACATCAGAGGGACTTTGGGCAGGGGCTCTCTTTGGGTGTGTGCCTGCTGTGCTCCTGGTGGGGGGTGTCCGTGGGGAAGGGGAGGGTCCAGGGTCTTGTAGAAGCTCCCTGGTGCCTTCTCTTCCTGCCTGTGGGGAAGGAAAAGGGTTGCCAAGGGGACAGGAGACAGAAGAGGGGCTAGGGGACCCGAAGGCCATGGGGTCGCACCTGAAGTAACCTTGGGGGCCAGTCCTCGTGCAGGTGAGTCGTGGAGGATGT